CCCTGTCCATCTACCAGACAGAACAGTGAGACAGCATGGGGAACCATGTGGGAGATTCTTCTAGGCCAGGCCAGGAAATGGCATAATCATGTCTGTCTGCATTCTGCTGTCCAGATCTCAGTCCCATGGTCCCTCTTACTACAGGTCCCTTGTTGGGCAGCCACTTCCCAGCAGCAACTTTGTCATGAGTTTTAGGAGTTCTCTATATATTCTGATTATTAATCCCTTATCAGTTATATCATATACATACATATTTTTTCTCCCATTCCGTGGGTTGCCTTTTTACTCTATTGATAGTATCTTTTTTGTTTCTTTGTTTTTTGTGAGACAGAGTCTCACTCTGTCACCCAGGCTGGAGTGCAGTGGCAGGATCATAGCTCACTGCAGTCTTGAACTCCTGGGCTCAAGTGATCCTCCCTCCTCAGCCACCTAAGTAGCTAAGACTACAGGCGTGCACCACCATGCCCTGCTAATTTTCCTATTGTTTGTAGAGAGTGGGTCTCACTACATTGCCCAGGCTGGTCTCGAACTTCTGGCCTCAAGGGATCCTCCTGTCTCAGCATCCCAAATTGCTAGGATCACAGGCATGAGCCACTGCATCCAGGCAATAGTGTCTTTTGATTCATAGAATGTTAAAATTTTTATGAAGTCTGCTTGGTCTGTTTTTTCTTTTGTTGCATGAGCCTTTGGTGTCATGACTATGTCTCTTTTGGCAACAAAATATTTTCCTTCACGTTCATAGCTAGAATTGAGAATAAACTAGGTTTTATAGGAAGTCCTAAAAGTTAGTTGCTGTATTTTTTTTTGTACGACAGAGTCTCACTCTATTGGCCTAGAGTGGACTAGAGTGCAGAGGCGTCATCATAGCTCAGTGCGTCCTCAAACTCCTGAGTTCAAGCAATCCTCCTGCCTTAGCCTCCTGAGTAGCTAGGACTACAGGCATGCACCACCATGCCCAGCTAATTTTTATTTTTTAATTTTTTGGAGAAGTGGGGTCTTGCTATGTTGCCCAGGCTGATCTTGCATTCCTGGGCTCAAGTGTTCCTCCTGCCTTGGCCTCCCAAAATGCTGGGATTACAGATGTGAGTCTTTGCACTCAGCCTGCATTAATTTATCCTCAAGATCTATGTAGAGTGGGAAGAAAAGGGAGAAAAACTCTAATCTTTAAAATGACCTTTATGTAGAGTCTTCTTGGTTCTTGATTAGCTCATAGATTGCAGCTTCACATATTGAGCTAATTGTTGATATGCTAAGTGTTTAAGAATTTTTTTAAACTTGGTCTGATTGGACTCTATAATTGCGCTAATTTGATTCTTTTGTCATCGTAATAAAAAAGACATTAGAGAAAAATATCTCCTAAGTTAATGAATTTATTTGAGAGTAAGCAAAGATTATAATCTGGGATACACAGCTATGGCAAGCCACAAGTGTACCCGAAGAGGGTAGGGTAAGTGGAAGCTTTTATTTGGCAAAAAGGGAAAGGTTCACTAGGTGCTTAGAAACTGAGTTCTTTGTTACTGTAGGCTCAAAGCTCGATTTGGCCCCAGTTCTTTGGTAGAGATACAGTTACTAGGCAAGAGTTGTTTCCAGAGCATCTTATTTGAATTGCTAAAGAATGTCTACTGATAAACCTGCTCATAGAGCTATATGCATCTGTGTGAAATGAAGGTGTTGAGAAGCATGGGATACATGAAAGATGTGAAGGAATTTCTTGTGGGGTTATTTTAGAAAGCCCTTGAGACTTTCCTCATCTCAGACATGCAAGCAGAAGCCTGCTCCTTGGTGCTTCTGGCTTCGATTTGTCTGGGTCTGACAAGAATGATTTCATCCTGGTATGTGCAGCTTTCACAGTCTAGTGACTTAGTTTTGGAGGAATGGAATAAAACCTGCAAGTTTTAATCTAATTAAATATGGTAAAGGCACTCTTTGTGAGACTGAGTGTATTTTTTGCCACTTTATTAGGCTACTGCAGGTAACTCCCTTCCTCTCTTCTTTCTTCAGCGTGCCAGTGGTGTCTCATGGGAATTGGTACAGAGTTTTAGATTTTTTTTTTAATTTACTCGTCTTGAGCTGTTTCAGTCTGTCAAAACCTGTTGTTCTTTCTATTGTTAATACTTAATAAACTTTAACTCTCACTCCTTCTTCTCCTCATCTTAACCCTTAATAATTTCTTTTTTAAAATTGTTTTGAGACAAGGTCTTGCTCTGTCACCCAGGCTAGAGTGCAGTGGTGTCATCAGAGCTCGCTGCAACCTCAAACTCCTGGGCTCACATGTTCTCCTGCTTCAGCCTCTGGAGTAGCTGGGACTACAGGTATGAACCACCATGCCTGGCTAATTTTTTTATTTTTTGTAGAGACAGGATCTTGCTGTGTTTCCCAGGCTGGTCTTGAACTCCTGGTCTCAAATGATCCTCCAGCCTCAGCCTCCCAAAGTGCTGGGATTACAAATGTGGACTACTGCGCCTGATTTAGCCTTTGATAATTTCATCTCTAACTCTGGCCCACTTCCTGTAGTAAGAATCCCAGTTTTTTCAACTCAAAGTTAGCAAACATTCCTTTAATGTCTGCTGTATGTAATACATTGCTCTTCATGCATTGGGCACATAAAGGTCCGTTTATTCATCACCTCAATAATGTTCTTGCACGCTGGAGATACACCAGGAATAAGACAGTGAACCTAGATCCTGCCCTCACTGAGATTGAATAAAGACATTGAAACTGCCTATATTAAAGTAATATAAGGTCATAAGGCAAGAACTGTGGTAAAAGTCTGATTTCTTTTTTTTTTTTTTTTTTTTGAGACAGAGTCTCACTCTTTTGCCTGGGCTACAGTGAGTGCCGTGGCGTCAACCTAGCTCGCAGCAACCTCACACTCCTGGGCTCAAGCGATCCTCCTGCCTCAGCCTCCCGAGTAGCTGGGACTACAGGCATGCGCCACCATGCCCGGCTAGTTTTTTCTGTATATTTTTAGTTGTCCGATTAATTTCTTTCTATTTTTAGTAGAGACGGGGTCTCGCTCTTGCTCAGGCTGGTTTCGAACTCCTGAGCTCAAATAATCCGCCCGCCTCGGCCTCCCAGAGTGCCAGGATTACAGGCGTGAGCCACCACGCCCGGCCTGTAAAAGTCTGATTTCTGCAGAAGTATAGATATAGCTAAAAGTTAACCAGCCATTGTTTCATAGCTTGCCTTCCTGTAATTGCTTACTGCTTAAGATTCACATGCCCTTGACTCGTGCAAGATGTATGACTTCCCCAATCACTTCTACAGATAACATTGCTATTGTAAAACCTAAGACTAGTCTTTGAGGTATCATCCAGACTCTGCATTCAGGGGGACCAACTGATGCCAACTGGACTGGTGGCCATGCACAGAACAGACTCAACAGGTCCTACAACCCTCTACCAGGAAACTTTCTTAGCACAAGAAGACAATTTTTGCTTCCCAACCCGATGAGTTCATCCCAAGCCAATCAGCGGACACAATTCCCTTTACCTTTGTCTGCCAAATTGCCTTTAAAAACCTTAGCCCCAAAATTCCTGGGGAGACAGATTTATGAACCTTCTCCCCTCTCCTCACTCAGTGCCCCATGATATTATACTCTTTCTCCACTGCAACCTTTGCTGTCTTAGTGTATTGGCTTCCTTTTGAGCAGTGGGCAATGCAACCTGGTTGGGCAGTAATGATGTTTTCAAGGTGTAAAGGGCATGAAGAGGACGGAGTGCCAGTGTCTCCCCAGGAAAGGCAGGACAGGCTTCATGGAACGGTTTCTGCTTGAGCCAAGTAGTGCCTTGCCTGGATTGATAAAGCTGGAGTGACAGTCCAGACAGAAAATACCCGCTCTTGCTTCTTTTGGATTTTTTTAAATAGTGTGGCTTCAGCATTGGGTGCCTGCGGGGTGAGGTCAGGTGAGGCTGAACTTTATTCTCACCTCATCCCGAGTCTGGGAGTCCTTCAGGAGGTTTAAGCAGCAGAGAAGGGAGTTTATGCAGTTGTTTGCATTTTAGGAAGGTGACTGGAAGACAGCGTGGAGGAGAGTCTGGTAAGGGAAGACAAGAGGAAGGAAGGCCAGTGAGACTGAGGCTGAGGAGAACAGTGACTGGGAGTGAACGAGGACAGTAGGGGAGGGAAGAAGGAGAGGGGACATGAGTCCCTGTGAGGGTAGGGACCAGCTGCCTTACCCTCCATAGTGTGTCCAGACTTGGACAGTGCCTGGCATGCAGGACGTGGACAGCAGATGTCTTCTGAATAAATGAATGAGGCACTTAATAGTTTGTTAGCCAGGATTCATGCTATGGAAAAAGAACTTGGAGCTCCACTGTCACCTGGCCTCCCCAAAGCTCTCACTGCCCGGAGCTGGCTGGGGTGGGAGGAGCCAGGATTCATAGAAAAGCAGAGCATCTTAATTTCTTTCACTCACCCAGGAAGTGAACCTGGGAACTGATTTTTGGTGAGAATCTTCCACAAATGTGGGAAACCATACACTAATCGGGGGGTGGAACATTGGGCTCTTCTCACAGGCCTGGTGCCTTTTTACACAAATTATCCCATTTAATCACCACAACAATCTAATGAAATGCTGAGATCTCAGAGAATGTGCAACAACCCCAAACCATCACCAAAATGAGGCACAGGGACGTGCTGAAACCTTGTCTTCCTTAGGTATGCCTGTGAGGGTCAGCCTGGACTCACCTCTTCCCTGACGCACTAATCCTAGGTGAGGCATCCAGCTCTTACTCCCACCCTGCCCCATTGTCAGTGCCACGCCCCTGTAAATGCAAACTCACTGCAGTTGGGCAGCCAGACCCCTCCTTGAGGCCCTGCCTGCCTCACCACTCCAGCACCTGGGAAGGGATAAGCACTGGTTTTAGGTCTGCAGCCAGTGTGAAGCTCAGGGAAGGAAAGTCACAGCAGCCAGACCGCCATATTCTTGCTAGTTATTCAAGTAGTAAAAAGTTAGGATAGGCCAGAGACCAAGAGAAAGCAGAGAGAGTGAAATACGAATGGGAGCAAGAGCGACTTTTTCTCACCTGCTCAATGACTTGGCAGCTCAGGGGAACGGAAGCACCACTGAAGATGTAGCCATGTCTCAGCACACTTTCAGACCCATACTCGCCATCCACTCATGGGATCCAAAGGGTAAAGTATTGATACTACATCAGGCAAGTGACAATTCAGTGCTCTATAGTCCTTTAACGAGTGAAATAAAAGTGGCATATCCCAAAGAATAGTTCTCTCACCTGAAGGAAGAACAGCAATAGCCCTGAAAAAAGACAATCCATAACCACAGATAATGGGTTTTGTTTAGCACCCACGATTCTCTGGAATGAGCTCCTATTCTCCCTAGGAACGGACGGGAGGGACCAGGTCTCCTTTCCCAGCCCTTTAGTGACATGGGACATAGCTGTCACTGAAGCAGCACTTAGTGTACTCTCTGGCATTGACAGGTGCATATTACATGTTTTTTAAATGAATGAATCTGAAAAAAAGAAAAGAGCCTGGCACAGTGGCTCATGTCTATAATCCTAGCACTTTGGAAGGCGAAGGCAGAAGGATCACTTGAGGCCAGGAGTTTGAGACCAGCCGGAGTAACATAACAAGACTCCATCTCTACAAAAAAAAATTAGCCAGGCATGGTGGTGTGCATCTGTAGTCTAGCTGCTCTGTAGTCCTGGCTACTCAGGAGGCTGAGGCAGTAGGATCGCTTGAGCCCAGGAATTTGAGGTTGCAGTGAGCTAGGATGATGCCACTGCACTCTACCCAGGGCAACAGAGCAAGACCCTGTCTCAAAAAAAAAAAAAAGAAAAGAAAGTGGACTGGATTTGGTGGGAGGATAGTGAGTCTAATTTGAAAGTGTTGAACATGAGGCGCTCTGGACATCTGGTAGTGGGAAATGGGTCTAGAACTCATGATCTCAGTTGAGATATGGAGTGGAAGGAGTAGAGGAGCAAACCCAAGGCTAAGAAGCTCTTGGACCTTTGATTGTTATCTTTATGGTAGATGACTGGCAGATCAGTATCTCCAGCTGAGACTTGTCTCTTCAGCTCATCCAGGTCTACCCACCTCCAGATATCTGCCTCTTACAGTTTTCCACATTTACCATGGTTAAGACAGCTCATTATCTCCAAGGAAATGTGGCTTTCCTCCTAGTTTCCCCATTCTTCCAAAGAGTCCTGGAGTCTTATTCACCCAACCTAAGCCATTTTGTTCTCTTGGATAAAATTCAGTAAAATTTCAGCTGCCCAGAATGTTTGAGATTGAAGATTCTAATTTCTCTGAGTTAAATTAAAGGGGGAGAAAAAGGTGCTTGTTTAAAAAGATTTTTCTGGCTGAGCACAGTGGCTCATTCCTGTAATCCCAGTACTTTAGGAGGCTAAGACAGGAGGATCACTTGAGGCCAGGAGTTCAAAACCAGCCTGGGCAACATAGGTGAGACCCTATCTCTACAAAATAATAATTATAATAAACAAAAAGGTCTTTCTAAAATATTATAGTATGGCTTTTTCCATCATTCTTGTCACCATGGGATGTTCTTCTCCCAGATCTTCCCAAGACTCTGTCCCTCACATCCTTCAAGTCTCTGCCAAATTTACCCTCACAGGGAGTTCTTCTCTGATCCTACCTTAGTCAACTAGCACCTTCCACTTTTACCCTGCTTAATTTTGTTTCATTCCATTTATCACTATGTGATTAGTTAATTTTTTTCTTATCGCTTGTCATTATTTGACTTGTTAATCTCTCTCCCTCACTTTAGAATGTAGGGGAGGGACTTTATCTTTTTTACCATTATATTCCCAGTGCTTTGAAGGTATGTAATAGGTGCTCAACAAATATTTGTTGAACAAATGTTTATAAGCAGCCCTGAACAATATATATATGTTTGATCTGGTTTACAAATTTGGAAATTGCGGCTCAGCATGGCTTCTAAATGACAGAGCCAGTGACTGATTACATCACCTGGGAATTTTATAGGTCATCAAGAGCTGCTTTCCAGATAAGACAAATTATTATAAGCTTGTATTTTCACTCATCATAGGTACCCAAACTCCCCAAACAGAAATGGTAAGATACATTAGTGGAAGTAGTTGCTATAATTGAATATTTCTGACTGTTAAAAAATACCTTTTTTTCTTTCAAATTTAGGAGGATATGGCCAAAAAAATGGTCGTAGTAGAAAATGGAGGGAGATACTGAAGCTGCCACCTGTCAGCCAGTGCAGGGAGCTCAGGCTTTCCATTGGTGAGTAGATAGTGCCTGCTTACGCCTGGAGGGTATGTCCAACAGTGGATCAGTTGTTAGGTGCTATTCTTTCTTGAGTTGTTTAGAAAATTGTTTAGGAAATTTTATGATAAATTCTCCTTATATTTTCCTGATTCTTCTTAGAAAAAAAGAACCCTTTAGATTTTCTAATCTGCAGTTATAAAGTATATGGCTGTTGACTTTTTATTAAAAAGTAATATATACTCATTGTTCAATACATAACAGAAGAGAAATAAAGTAAAAGTTCCTCTCTTCATGACCTAGCCAATCGTTGACTCTAGAAGTAAACACTGTTAAACATTTCTTCGTATCCTTCCAGACAGTTTTTATGCATATTAAGAAGAATTATTGGCCGAGCGCGGTGGCTCATGCCTGTAATCCTAGCACTCTGGGAGGCCGAGGCGGACGGATGGTTTGAGCTCAGGAGTTTGAGACCAGCCTGAGCAAGAGCGAGACCCCATCTCTACTAAAAGTAGAAAGAAATTGGCCAAACAACTAAAAATAGAAAAAATTAGCCAGGCATGGTGGTGCATGCCTGTAGTCCCAGCTACCTGGGAGGCTGAGGCAGGAGGATCGCTTGAGCCCAGGAGTTTGAGGTTGCTGTGAGCTAGGCTCACGCCACGGCACTCGCCCCAGGCAAGAGAGTGAGACTCTGTCTCAAGAAAGAAAAGAAAAATTATTCATGATAACTTCAGGAAAAAATATATGGCATGTCAGTATAATGGAATACTCTGCAGCTATAAAGACTAAGAGCTGTTTTATAGGTCCTAATATGAGCACAAGAAATCAGATATGGAACCATGTCTAATAGGTCAATCATAATTGTGTTTTTTAAAGATAGAATTTCCAGTTCAAAGGGTATGTACATTTAAAATTTTGATGTTGACAATTCACCCTCCAAAAAGGTTGTTTCAATTTACTGTCCTGCCAACAATGTATGACAAATATTCTTCATCTGTGCCATTGCTGATACTGGTTATTATCAGTATTTTTCATCTTTGCTAAATTGTAATTTGAAAAATAGTCTCTTGTTTTAATTATGGATGGGGTTGAACATCTCCATGGGATTTTTCAATTTTCCTTTTTTTCAAATTCATTTGTAAAAGCTCTTTATGTATGAAAAAAGTTACATTTTATATTCACTGTGAATATGGTATTTTTTTCCATACAGAGGTTTTAATTTTTTACAGAGACAAATATATCAGTCTTTTCTTAGCTTCGGAGCTTTGTGCTGTACTTAGGAAGGACACCTTTATTTCAAGATTATTTTTGGACCCATACTCGCCATCCACTCATGGGATCCAAA